GGACACTATGAGTTTCAAGGCTTGTGTTCCTCTTGTTAGTCACAAGGATTTGGAACCATACATTCAGCGGATTGTGGATGGTGATGCTTCCCCAATTCTTACCGGAAAACAAATAACGTGTATCTCATTAAGGTACTTTTCTTTTGATTCTCCTACCTTTTAAATTGCATTATTTTTTAGTAAGTTTAAGGTGTTGATCTTTTTTTTTTTTTGGTTCCTTTTTCTTTTTGCAGTTCTGGTACTACTCAGGGAATGCCCAAGTTTGTCCCTTTTAATGATGAATTGACGGAATCCACAATGCAGATATTTAAGACATCTTTTGCGTTTAGAAACAGGTACTATACACCTGTGTATTGAAGAGAGTCATTTATATATTCTTTTGAGAGACCTTTTGTTTCTTTTGACTTTGGGCTCTAGAGTCTTCTTTTTTTCATTTTGACAGAGTTCTAGAGTCTAATTTTAGAATCATACCATTTTCTTGTATTTGATAAAGTTTTGCTTTTTTCTAATTGTTTTTTGGTGTTTTGGGTTGGGGGGGGGGGGGGGTTGTTGGTTGAGGAGTTGCCAGTATTATTTCCCAGAGTTTAGAGTTGTTGGGATTTGTCAATTCGGACAGATGTCCAGATTTACTATATCTACTAGAATTTCTCTCTTTTTTTTCTTTTCAATGTCCTATTCAGTTAAAGGTTTCGTCCTATCAAACGTATCCGGCTTTCTATCAAACAACTTTTTGCTCTATGTTTCTAAATAGTGAGAATGCCCTTCTTTCTTATCCAAATTTCATGTTAGTATCCTGCATGCCCATTTGTTCAGAAAAGAAAGAGAGACAAGAAAAAATCTTTGAGTACGATTATAAGGAACAACTTCAAATAGACCAAGATCCAATTTCGGGTCATTTATTGGTGAACATGATCTGTCATAATCTTTGGATTAGTGCTGTTTAACGAGGATATTGCCAGTAACAAACGTTGTCATTTCACTTTTGATACATCCTCACTGTGGAAATTAGCCTAGATGATTAATGTTTCTATTATTACAAGTTTCTTTGGGTCTTTTCTTGGCCGTCCAAATGGATAAATGATAGAAAGCTGAGCAGGCCTTATAACCCAAGGGATATAAACAAAGAATGCCATCGACCTTTCGTCCTTATACTTACTATTAAAAAACTGCATTTTGCTTTCGTTAATGTGTTTGTTTTTATATATGGTCTGTGTTAGTTATCTGCTTATGTTATAAACTATCTTCTGCAGAGAATTTCCAATTGGCAATGGCAAAGCCTTGAATTTTATCTACAGTAGCAAGCAGTTTAAAACAAAGGGGGGTCTGGCAGCAGGAACTGCTACTACAAATGTGTATCGTAGTTCAGAGTACAAGAAAACAATGAAGGCAATGCAAACCCCATGTTGTAGTCCCGATGAAGTGATATTTGGCCCCGATTTTCACCAATCCTTATACTGCCATCTTCTTTGTGGACTTATTTATTGGGATGAAGTTGAAGTTATTTCCTCTGCTTTTGCGCACAGCATCATCCAGGCCTTCCGAACCTTTGAACTAGTTTGGGAAGAACTATGTACTGATATCCATGATGGGGTCCTAGCCAGCCAAGTTACTGTGCCATCCGTCCGGACAGCTATGTCGAAGCTGCTAAAGCCAAACCCTGAATTGGCGAGTATGATCCATAAAAAGTGCATGGGATTAAGTAATTGGTATGGTTTAATACCAGCTTTATTTCCCAATGTGAAGTATATATATGGAATCATGACTGGATCAATGGAACCCTATTTGAAAAAATTAGGCCATTATGCTGGGAAGATACCCTTGCTGAGTGCAGATTATGGGTCTTCTGAAGGGTGGATTGGAGCTAATGTCAACCCAAATTTGCCTCCTGAGTTAGCCACTTTTGCAGTGCTTCCTAATATTGGTTATTTTGAATTTATTCCTCTGAGGGATAATGGTCAGGGTCCGAAACTAAATAAAGATGAGTCCCTCTTTCTCTCAGTGGAGCCTGATCCAGTTGGTCTGACTGAAGTCAAGGTTGGCGTAGAGTATGAGATATTGGTCACCAATTTTGCAGGTACTAAAGTTTTTAACTATTACAGGCATGCATATTTTAGAGTTGATAAACCAAACCAAATCAAGTCTTATGTCTCAATTATTTGTGGTCGTCTATATGAGTCCGTCTTCGCCATTCATTATAGTCATGCGTTATCCCCGCTCAAAATTGATGCTGTTAACTATTGCCTCTTCCTGCATCAGTGCAAATCTATAAAATTGCTTACACTTTTTATCAAAAAAGCATGACAATGAGAGATGATTTATCTATCTCATAATTAAAATATGAAAAACGAACATGGTCAATACTTGGGAAAATTCACTTTTTTGAACTTTTAAATTGATAGTTAACCAATGGATTAGTAAAACTAGGCTGTTCCTCACTGGCTTCCATTTAGTAGATGCTAGGAACTTTCCTTAAATACTAAGCATGTGGGTGCTGGAAAGAGGGAGAGCCCATCTTTCTGTCCTTGTGGTCTGTCTTCTTTCCCATACTGTCTCGTTTCTCTCAAATCTTTAATCTGTTTCTCTTTAGTTTTTCCACAGATGAGATTCCTTTTACACTAGGCTAGACGAGGGGCATGTGCCATCTTTTATTTCCCCCTTTTGGTGGCACAATAGTAAGAAAAAAGATCAGTTTTATTGCACTTTAGATTCAATTTAATATATTTTTTTGCCTTAAGTTCAAATTGGGCATACTATCTCTGTTAAAGGGTCTCCTACCAATGCACCATGGTTAATGAAAATATTTTCGAGGGTTTGGTCCATATTAACCATGTCTATTCGTACTCTATCTAGCATATAGTCTCCGTATTTTTTATAATTGCATCTAGTTGATTACATTGTTAGACATACAGATGCAAATACTTGCACAATATCAGTATTTTTGGTCCCATGTGCATCCCATTACGCTAAAGAATATTATTATATGGCTTCACAAGAGTTGAAATTCATTTGAATGTCTATGTATTTAGATGACTATATACGTATCTTGTCCGTGATTGAGACAATTTAACAATCATTGATGTCTTCTTTTACGCTAAAACAAACTTGCAGAAAATAGAAATAACAAGTCACTGGAGATGTTCAATCAGGGATCATGACCCATCATGATCAGCATTAGTGTTACTAGTTAATGTTGGTTGGATGAAATAGACTACTTGACCTTTGGGTTTCTTTGAAATGTTAAGTTGAAAAAATCCGAGATTTAGTTACTTAGAAGTCAATATTAAAGCTGTTGACAATTAATAACGATAGAGAGATAAAAGAAAAACAACACATTTTTGGTACTTTTTACTGGGGTCATCTTCAACTTTATTGGTGAAAGTGTTGGGTGAATGATTGCGAGGTGGTAGATTCTAATTTGAGAACTTGAACTAAATAAGATCAAAAGTTAGGTTTATATCTAGTCTATTTCTCTCTAAACCCTCGATTAACAGGGGATGAATAGTACAATTATCCTAGCAGTTTTGATTTGATCCACTTCTAACTTCTTGCATTCCAGTATTTGAATCCAATTTACTCATTTTTCACCAATCATTGAAGACATACCTTAAATATCACCAAGTTAATGTCATGATTGTTTGATTCTTTTCAATTATTACTACAACGAGGGCATAAATTAGCTTTTTTTAAGCCAAATTTTGCTCAACTTGAGAGTTTAGGAGTGGGATCTGCCTAGGAACCTTCTTGTGGTGGTACAGAAGGCACAGACTTCACGAACGTGCCACGCCTCTTTGACATTCCGACTAATATAATTTTACCGATGTTTCTCAAAAAAACAAAAATAAGTGAAAGAAAGTCTCAATCAAAACAATATTACTTTTGTATGCGGATGTAGCTAAGTGTGAGTCCATCGATCATAGTTTCCTGCTGTTGCGGCAAGTGCTCGTTTGTGCACACGTGAACCAACCCAACTAAATTATATTTACCTTTTATGTTCATATATTTCAAGATATAAGTAGTTTAAATTGTTTTTCAGGTTTATATCGTTATAGGTTGGGAGATGTGGTTAAGGTAATGGGCTTCCACAACTCGACCCCAGAACTCCATTTCGTTTGCAGGAGAAATCTTCTACTCAACATTAACATTGACAAGAACACAGAGAGAGATTTACAGTTGGCTGTGGAAGCAGCAGCCAAGCTTTTAGCTGAAGAAAAGCTAGAAGTGGTCGATTTCACGAGCTGGGTCGACATGTCCACAGAACCTGGCCACTATGTCATCTTCTGGGAGGTGAGTGGTGAAGCAAGTGAGGAAGTTTTGAAGCAATGCTGCAATTGTTTGGACGGATCATTTGTTGATGTAGGGTATGTGAGCTCTCGCAAGGTCACAACCATTGGGGCACTGGAGCTCCGAGTCGTGAAGAGAGGTACCTTCCATAAGATTATAGATCATTATGTAGGATTAGGGGGTGCTGTTAGCCAGTTCAAAACGCCTCGATGTGTCGGGGCCAGTAATAGTAGAGTCTTGCAGATACTTTGTAACAATGTTGCCAAGAGCTACTTTAGTACTGCTTTTGGTTGAATTTGAGACAAATACCCTTTGTTTGGTGATTTCAAACTCTTATTCAGTCTGTCTAGGTCTGTTTTGATAAATTCATTAGGAATAAAATAAATACTTCAACTTCGTACTAGTTTGTTACCTCTCTTGTCACAATTAGCTTAGTTATCATTGGTAAAATACTTTTTTTTTAAAAATTAAAGTAAAATCATATGTAATTATTATTTTATAACAATGATGTAAATACATAATATTTCGTATATAAATAATTATCCTGGACATTATGAGAGTAAATCCCACAAGAAAAAAGTGCGAGTATTTTTAGAAAATGTTACCAAATGGTACTAAGTAGGCCACATCAATTAAAGTCGTGTAAAGACCCATTATGATGTGATTTTAGGATACCATAATTCTACGTTTAAAGTTCCTCCAGAAAAATATGATGAAAGAAGAGAAGAAGATTAAGCAATACAGATATGGGATTGTGGTAGCCCATTGTATGATTCATATGAACTGCCTTCAATTATCAATCACATTGATAGGCATCTTATGACACCACCATCTCTCGGTCGATCGGGCGTGTTCCCTTCGATGCTATTACCATCAAACATCGGGGTCCCGGGAAAGATCGGAGGGTCTTCTGTGGTGTCCTTTTTGACTGAATTATTGGGGAAGACTCCGTGGAAGAGGAAGATGGATAGAGGAAAAGAAGACAAGCCCAAGAAGGTGGAACATGAGATCTACAAAAGTTGTGTAACCAGATTAGTTCATGGAGGAAATGTTTGGGCAACTAACTATTAAAGGCATTGTGGTTCATGATTTTAAAGTCGTTTTCTAACTGTGTGCTTCTGCATAAAATGATTTTGTAGATCGATTTATGAAGTTTTCATTTACGCGGGATATTTAATTGAGACACTCCTCTTAATTATGATTTTTCACGTGTAATCGATGGGGAAGACAAAATATTTCTAGTCCGTTTTCAGTTAAACACTCATTTATGATTAATACTGTAGTAAACATGTTTCTCCAATTAATGCAAACTATGCTCTTGTTCAATCACTAAATGAACTATAAATAAGCATAGAGAAATTCTAGAGTGTTGCTTACGATCAAATAAAATAGCAAAATTATGTTAAATGTATTTTAGGAATGAGAACTTTTGGATATACAAAGAAGAATTTAAAATTATAAGTTTAAATTTGTAGTTTTTTTTTAGTAAGTTCTTTTAAGACAGGAAAAGGGGTTCTGGGGGAGTTACAGAACATTAGTCAAATGCCAATTTGAGGTCAACTATGATGTTGTTTAACATGAATTTTATAGAGGGTAAGGGGCCTCTAGAAAGAAAATGGCTAAAATTCTTTGGAGGGCAATGAACTTGTTAATTGTCACTATTGAATATTATGGAAGCAAATTTACATTGGTGATAATTTTGATTATAGCACATATTATAATGTATTGTGTGTACGCTATTACCTGTTTTTTTAGTCCATATTTGAGAACCGTCTCAATTATATGAAAAATGTTGCATAATTCAAATGAAATTCAAAAAATTACAACTCAAATGCATATCATTCATTGGATGAGTGTGAGATGAGTGGATCCCATTGAAAAAATTGATGAGACTCACTCATCTAATGAATGATATACATATAGATTATAATTTTTTGAGTTTCATTTGAGTTTTGTAGTCAATTATATTACATTTATAATTATTAAGTAAATTCAAGAAACACACAATCCTTCATAAATATACACGATAATTGAAACATGTCGGTTCTTGCAAGACCTGGACTTAAATGTCAGTTCTAATATTTTTTTCAACGGTCATGGATGTTCAGACCAATTTATGCACACTTTAATTAATTCTTTCATCAGTTTGGTCAAAAGCAAATCATCTATGCCGGGATTAAGGTATTCATGAAAAAAATTCTCTCATGACTTGGTCTCAAAAAATCGTCAAAATTTAAATTCTGGACGTCTGAGTTTACGGTTCGTCGTTGTACCACTTGAAGTTAGTATCTAATGTATTCAAGCCAACGTGATTGATACAGTTCCTAGTTGATTCAGCATCAAACGTGGGTTTAAGAGAATAATATGGGACACTTTCAAAAGTCTTTATCCAAAGTGGTAGGCACATAATGGATGTCTTCCATTGCATGGTCACCATGGAGCTATTATTTCTATTTTTAGGCCTCTTCGCTATAGTGTGTTCTATTTAGGCGCACATCTAGCCCTATATTCGGCCCAGTAGTTAGGGGCTTAAGGAAGTTTCGGACCAAGTTGGACTCCAACTTTTATAATTTTGGGCCTCTGAGAATGGGCAGGCCTGTCTTGGAGGCCTAGGAAAGATATTGAATTAATGAATATTTTGTTGTCAATATCTTTTTTAAAACTTATTTGACTTTAAATATCATAGTCGTACTTATACTCTATAAAATTTTTTTTTTTCATCCAATTATTGTCATTAACTACACATTTCAATTGTTTTTTTTTATTACTTAATTACCTATACTATAAATATTGTCCATCATTACTCATACTATATATATGTGTGTGTGTGTGTGTGTGTGTGTGTGTGTAATAACAATAAACATTAAGACGCTCAATAAAAAAAATAATATCAACCAATAACACGCTCAATAACAAAATAATAATATCAAACAATAACATATTCAATAAAAAATTTTATTAAAAATTTAATCATTACAATAGAGTGACATCATATATAAGTACTTATTTTGTTGTGGGAATGGTGGAGTGGATGACTTTTGTTTTTATTAAAGTGGAGAGGAGATTAGTCGAAGTGTGCGTAAATTGGTACGGACACCTTCAACCGTTAAAAAAAAAAAAATTGCCCTAGAGCCCTGGCGCCTCAACAGCATTATCATTGTCATCTTATAATATATGTAATTTCATAGTAGTTGAAAAATAATTAACTATGCCAGCTGATAAGAATGAAATGTAATAAGAGAGTGACCCTACAACCACAAGATACCATTTTTTTTTTAATAAATGTTGACTAGTTCCCCAACCATACTTGAGATCCAAAAAAATATCACAGCCGACAAGAGGATCAAAATTGACATTCTTTGAGGTTGACTTTCTAGAAATTTTGACCTTGTAATTATAAAATGATTACAAAATTAGGATTCTTCATTTTGCCCCTTATTTAGAAGATTCGTCTACTATGAGATTAATCATTCCTAGACAAAAGTCTTGATCTGAAAAAAAAAAAAATATGCATTTTTTTGAAGAAAAATAGGATTCAAGTTGTAAATACAATAAAAAAAGAAGTTTGGTATTTCAACCAAAGAAAAATATTTCATCTTTGTATCTTTTCGGTGGCATGTTCGAGCGATAAAACATTTATCTCTAGGCCTAGTTTGTAGTTCATAATCCACATATGCACTAATGGACTAACATGTATTTTCTAGTTAGGATTAAAGATGAAACTACCAAGTAGTTTGACATTATAATCAAAATTACATAATTTACCGTCACTTAATTTTTTTCAATTGCATTACGCTTGAAGAAAGGGGAAAAATCACGTTTTCATTCTAGATAACCCATATCACCAAGCCAATGATATTTTAAGGCGACTAACTCCTTTTCATTTTGAGTGTTTCCTACTACGTTTCTTTTATTTATCTTTCTTGTTAATTTTCTTATCTTGAATGGGGTACAATCTCCATTGTATGTTCTTTTTCATAGTCGTCACAATAAAAAAAAGAAGATTGTAGAGCCTAATTTCATCAACTTTCTTAATTTTATTGATACGTCACATGTGCTTTTAGATTTATGAAAATTTTGAATTACTCATGATTATGATCTTCCACAGTTGAAACGATATTGTTGTAATTGACGTTATAATATCATATCTTTAAACTAGAACAGAGAATATCGATTTAAAATTTTCAATCCTCATTTTTTTCTATCCAAATGTTTACCCAAAGAGAGATTAAGAGTGTGCTTTGAACTTGTATGAACATTCACTAGGAATACCTTCTATTCGTGGCTGAGATGAGCAATGATAGACTCCATCAAAACCCTTTTCTTTCTCTTTGAAAAGTTCCCAATTACGCCAAGAAATTTAGATCTGTTTCGACCACAAAATACGCAACTAATCCAACGAATTTGAAAGAATTTTTTTTTTTTTTGGTAAGTAAGATGAAATCATTAAAACCAAAGAAAATGTACGGGTGATACTATGAGATGACTGATATTCTGAATAGGGGATAAGAAGATCAACCATCCCAATAGCAAAAAATACAAGAAATACAAATTCAAAAAGATTGAACAAAAAATATACAAAACAGAACTTTATCTGAGTTTCAAGATGAGCAAAGCAAAAGCAAAAATCATCCATTAAAAAAAGAAAGGAGGAAGCAGTCAGCAAACCAATGACAATAGCAGCCTTAAGCATTACCATCATGTGTCTATAATCCAGAAGTTCAATCAGGCAACATCATTGACAAAGCTGGGGGTCTTACCCACCTACCATGGCTGAAAAAATTGAAATGGAAAAAAGAAAACTGGTTAGAGGTAATAATGTCAATTTCAGAATGTATTTGAGTCGAGAATATAATCACGAGATTTGATTAATTTTATATTAAAATTTGTTTATCTTGAGCGCAAATAAATAGAATAAACAAGAGAACAATTTTTAGTTTCACGATAAATCCTGAATTATATCTTGAACTTGGGTGAATAGTATAAAAAAATCTTGGAGGTGGGATAATTCTATCCCATGTAGGTGAGATAGAAATGGGGATTTATTATTAAATCAAATATTCTCTACAACATTTTTTATTAATTTTTTTAATAAGAAATCACATATTATTAATACATGTCCACTTCTATAGAAAAGAATAGCTCTCACACATAGGTCTCATTAATTTTTTCAGTAGGACCTATTTATCCAATAGATGATATGTATTTTGGTTAGAATTTTTGGGTTTCAATTGGATTGTGTAGCATTTTTTTTTTTCGGTTTAATGATCAAAGGTGTCTAGATCAGCTTGTGCGCACCTCGATTAGTCTTATTTCTAGTCTAATAAAAAAATAAGTCATTTATGCTGAGACTAGAAAATTTATGATGAATAAATCACTCATGACTTGGTCCTAATAAATTATCAAAATTTGAACTCAAAATATTTAAATTTACAGTTCGTCTCTATTATTATTTTCTTTGGGATTACTCTTTGAGTCTCACACATAATACGTTTATTCTAAAATTTGAAAAAAAAAATATTCATGAGATCCAAAGTTTTTTTTTTTTTTTTTTGCCTTTTTTGACATATTCCAGGAGGGGGTGCTGTGGTGGGCCAGAGCAAAAGTGACACAAGTAACAGGAGACACAAGAGTCGGGTCCAGCTGATTGATTAGGAGTGTTTGGTAGTGAAGGAATAGGAATTAAATATAACACGGTAATCTTCTAAAATGACATTTGACCTTACGCGCTCTCATCTTTTAACATATGGTCAAGACTATGCTTTTTTTTTTTTTTTTGTCTCACTGGAAAAATAAGCTCATAAGGTCAATGAATAAACAAAATTGGGTTAATTATAAAATATCTTCTCAAAGTTTGGCTCATGTTGTAATTAGATCTCTTTAATTTCAATTTAAACAATTTATTCCCTTCAAGTTTGAATATTAGATCAATTACTCCAAATCCGTTAATCTAACCATTAATAGTTAAGAGAAGTTGGTCATTTAACCCCGGATAATTAAATTACTGATGTGGTGTAACAGTTATATCCAATCCTCTGTCAGTGTAACGGTTATATTCAACTCACCTTTAACAGATGATGCGTATTTAAATTATAATTTTTAAATTCTATTTAAATTGTCTAGCATTATTTATATTTTTTCCCAACCCCCAACCCCTCTTCAACACTATTCCCAAAAAAAAAAACCTCTTTAGCAAACCCATTCACCCACTTGTAACCAACAACCCTAATATCCCCAAGAAATCACCAAAACCCGTCGACAAGTAAAACCCTAAAAGGTGAAATGCTTAAGAGATTGTGGAATTTTGAAGAGGTATTTTGTAATTAACCCTAAAAGGTGATTGTGGAATTCACTTCATGATTTGCTCTTACTTGTCAATTTGAACCTCGTTGTCTTCTCTTATTATAATTTTTGATTAACAAAAAGAATGCTACAAGCAAGTTTGTTACTTTGCCTAGATTTTTCATTTTTATTATCCAATAGATCTCACCCTTGGTCTTCCATTTTGTTCTATGAATTTATGAGCATAAAGAGCAATATTACATGTAACTAGGGTGGGATTCAAACTTAAGAGAAATTTTCGTGTAAAACGTTTTACAAAATTAAGAAAAAAAATGTTTACAATTTTAATATTCGTCGGTGACTTGTAGGGTGTTCAAATTATCCTATATCATCATGTCTGAATTAGTCGTTGCATTCTGATCATTACCTTCTATCATCTGAATCTATCGATTTTGTTCTCGAATTTGTCTTGGACTATTTCATGGTCACGGTTTGCTTAGAAGTTGTAATTGGTCATGTGGCTAAACTTATTTAATATTAGGCCTCGGCCCCTCCAAAAAAAGAAAAAATTGAAAATATTAAATGACTAGGCCCCTAGTTTGACTTGGAAAATTCAATTCATTCATTGTGAGCGTTGTTTCATCCATCTCATTACGGAGCAAGAACATGTGACAACGTTGTGCAGAAGAGTACAACTTCGTTAATTCTAGGGCAAATTACACTGATACCCCCTTACGGTTTGCAATATTAATGATGGATAGACTTGATGTTTTTTATATGACTAGTAATGTACCACGTGAATGTTTTCATTAAAATATTTGATAAAATGTATAAAAATAATTATATAGTTAAATTAGATTTTATCTTACGTTTATCATACTTAAATTGTTTATATTCTGGATGTAGAGAAAAAAATATATATATTAATTTGTTAGCACCGAAGATGATATTGTATCAATAAAATAGTCGATATGTATTAATAATTGAGCTTTGGACAAAAAAAGAATAATATTTTTATATATCCTATTAAGAGTAACATGACTATCTAAAATTTTGTAAAGATAGATCATATGCTCGAGATTAGTTTGTTATTTAAGTATAAATGAATATAAAAGTAATTTGAATATTTAAATACAAAAAGGCACGCTAGCCTTTATAATTTTTTATAAGAACAAAATAATAAATTAAAAATTTTTCTTGTTAAGATACTTTTATTAGTAATATTCCACTCCCAACAACGATCACCATCTCCAACCCTTACCCCCTGCTCCTTACTATCACTTCTTCTTCGCAATCTCGCGTTGCAACTACCACCTCGATTGGTATAGGTAAAAATCGTGTGCTTTGAGTTCGACCTTGTGACCTTTAGAGGACTAATTGAATTGAGATGGATTTACAGTTAAAGATATTGTATTTCTTTTCTTGAATTCTCTCTCTCTCTCTCACCCACACATAGACAAAAAGGAAAAAGAAAAAATATTTTATGGTGTGTGAAGCGTTGGTGGTGGTGGTGGTTCATATAAAGGACTGTGTGTCTAAACTTATGCATGCGTGCTTGGTGGTAGTGTGAATTTTTGGTACGTCGTGGTGGCTTACGATTGTAGGTACGAAAGAATCATAGGGGTGATATGAAATAGACAAATTAACTGAAATGGGACATAGTGTTATTTTAGATAATGTAAAGGATGTTTTAGAATTACAATAATTTATAAGGGGTGTAACTGAAATTTTTTCTGACTTATATCAGCATTTTGCTTCGATTACACTAACACCACCGAAATAGCTTTCCTATCTATCACCTCTTACCTATATTCTGAAGAATCTGAACTAAAACACATACAATTGTGAGGCAAAGAATGCTGCAGAAACATTAGACCTCTCTCTCTCTCTCTCTCTCATTTTTCGTCTGCAGCTCGGAAAAGCTGTGTGTGTCTCAGAAACTCTCTGATTTTCTCTGAACTCACTTTTTCGAAGCAAGAGATTTTTTCTTCTTTCGGTATTGTTTGGACGGCGTCTATGTTTCTGTTAGATTTCTGAGTGAAATTAAAGCAGAACCGTTCATATATTTCGATTTCTTGGAATGATATATCGTTTATATTTTGGGTTTGAATAAGCTTTTGTTTTGAAGTTCATCTACAACAATGTCTGAACCAGCGAACGTTCGTCTGGTTCGTTGCCCAAAGTGCGAAAACCTACTACCAGAGGTCACTGATTACTCTGTTTATCAGTGTGGTGCTTGTGGTGCTGTTCTTCGAGGTACGCTTTCTTCAATTCTCTCTTTGTTATTTTCTGTTTGGTTCCCAGGAATACTTACTAATAGATCGGAAAAATTGCAGTCATAACTAAATGTTTTGTTCTTGTTGATTTTGCGTATAGTTTTCTTGTTTTGTTGGGTCCTAAATACTGGGAAAAAGTTAAGAACTTGAAATTAAGATGTTATACTTCCTTTTATTTTCCTCCACTTTCTTTATTTTCTTTCGCATATGTGCAATGTTGTAAAATAGGAAATTTCCTTTTTCTTTAATTTGCAGCGAAGAATAATACTGTTGAGGCAGATTCATTCTCAGAGAAGTCTGATGAAGAAAGGATAAGAGGGGTTTCAGAGAAATTTTCTGAGAAATCGGAGAATTTTGTCTTATTGGATAAACGAATGGTGAGGCGGGAGGTTTTCAGTGATGGGTCTGAGAATGATTGTAAGTCGAATGGTAGTTCTAGTAGATCTGAGAAGAGGAAAGATTCGGTGATAAGAGCTGATAAGTGGGGTGTTGAAAATGATCTGGAGATCAATAAGAATATTGATGAATTCGGTCATGCAAAGATGTCAAAAGAATTTGAGAACTTGAGACTGCAACAGGGAAATGCAACTGGGTCAGGAAGGCGAATGTCAGATTGGAGATTTGGGGAGAGAGGTGAGATGGAGGGGATGAGGAGGACCGAAAGGTTTGATGTAGAGGATGTGAGATATTCATCTTCAAAGTACCCTGAAGAGAGTCCTTCGAATTACCAGTTACAGTTAGGGTCCAGTTATGGTTACGATGAGCCAGAGAAGAATAGGAATGACTCAAGTGGGTTTAATAAGGTGGAGTATTATGAACAAGATCGAGCAGAGCTTTTGAAGAGAATTGATGAGCTGAAGGATCAAATTAGTAGGTCTTGTAATGTAGCCGACAAACCCCAAGAAAAGGTTCCTCCAGACAGGAGGATAGTTCATCAGGATCCTTATAGTGGTTCTGAGTACTGGATTCCTGATGTCTCTTTGGGGTTGAAAAGAGCTTCAATGCAATATCCTGCAGCTGATAAACATGTTGCAAGACCTCCTTATATTAGTCCTTATGCAGAACCATCTCCTTTTTCAAGTAAGCAGGAAATGCTTATGCATAATTTTTACCCTCCAATTCATAGATCATATCAAAGTCAAGGATTTGGCGATCCTTTTAGATCCCATATGCCAAGGAGAGTACCCCTCCAAGCACCAGGTCCTTTCCAACAGCAGCCACCTCACCCATACTATTCCGGGCTCTATATGGACAATGATATGGTCCAGAAGGATCCATATGAAACATACCCACCTGATATGAACCCTCATCATCCATCTTGCTCCTGTTTCCATTGCTACAACAAATACCACCAAGTTCCTCCACCTGTTAGAACTACTGGCTTCTATGACAAAAGGGTTTCAACTGTCCCGAACGACCCGATGTTCTCTCATCATGAACACCTTGGTGCATTTGGTCCACAACATTGTAATAGTAAAATTTCCAATCCTCCTCCATTTAATAATCCTAATCCACAATTCCATACAAGATGGTCCAGTGATGTTAATTCTGAAGTGGGTGGATTTGTTCATCGCCGTCCTCCAAGGGTAGTGGCGGCCCCTGGTGTGCGGCATTGCCGCCCCATAGCTGGTGCTGCTCCATTTGTGGCATGTTGCAATTGTTTTGAATTGCTGGAAATGCCTAAGAAAGTTTTGCTCATGGGAAAAATTCAAAAGGAGATGAGATGTGGGGCATGCTCTACGGTCATCCTTTATGAAGTTACCAACAAGCGACTTCTTGTTTCTGTTGCTGGAGAAGCAAAGAAAACTTTCGCAGAGGTTGATAATAGCTCTAATGTAGTGAAGAAAGATGGTAATTCACATAACCATGGCCATCTAACTGGGGCTAGCATGAACTTTTCATCCGAGGATTATGATAATTCCGGTTGTGATTATCAGTCAATGGATAGAGAACTGGTTTCATCATCGACAGCTCAGGGTTTTAACTCAAACAAGTCTGCAGAAATGAAGAGCCTTCTAGCTACACCTTCCTGTACTTCTGACGATGAGGACGATCCAGAGAGTTTGACTGCTGCAAGAAAAAATGCCATCTCTGCTGAGCTGCCAATTAAAGTTGATGCGTCACCACCAGCTGCTGGTTCACCCCTTCAAGATCATTTTGACTACTCTACTAAATACCATCGATCTGGAAAGGGAAATGTGAGTGGACGCTCTGAACAGGAGAAAGAGATGCCAAAGAGGGTTGTTTCATGGCAAAATTCTATGAAAGATTCATCACTCGCAACTGAGATTGATATATCATCCAATGAGTACTCCAATACTGGGACATCTCAAGATTCAAGTGAAGTGAGTAGAGGAGAAGGTCAACTGAGAGCCAACAAAAGAGCTGAATCATTCTTTGGCGGCATTATCAAGAAGGGCTTCAGGGACTCTTCTAAATCTAGTCAAACTGATGAGGAGGACAGTACCAATGTTACAGTGAATGGGCATCCTATACCAGAGCGGTTGATTAAGAAGGCTGAAAAGTTAGCTGGACAAATCCATCCTGGACAATACTGGTAAGTACATGCAGATAGAACCATCCAGACCGTTCATATTCATTTTCTTTTGTGTGTAAATTTGCACGCTTGAGATTTATGTATCATATGAGTATTAGTCGTACTACAAACCTGCATACCTTAGTTGTATGCGTTGGGTATCAACTATGGTTTTGCCATGCAATGATTTCTAGACCCATTAGAGGAAACATGGGGTAACTTCACTACTGCTTGCTCCTCCAGTAGATAGGTGTACAAAGGATTTGGTTACGAAGCCAATCCAGTCCCATGACAGGTTTTTATTAGACAATTCAATGACTTTCCAAAATTCAAATAGGTTATTAGACTGAAGAAGTAACATATTGATAATGCCTGTTTGTTGACTTAATCTGTTATAGGTTTACAATTTTAGCATGGTATTTAATTCCTAGGCTTAAATACCATCATATCATATATAAAACAAAACTGTTGCCTTATTTGGAAATGGGACAGCCACATCTAAAGAATTAGTATAATGAACTTATTTTATTTCATCATATGTTGGGGTTTTAAACAAAATAGGGCCATATGGAGGTGCAAATCAATTAAGCTCAAATTGTAGAAATCCCCGAATGATTGAAGTAGATTCATTTCATACGACTTGATCTCATTCTGATTGACTGTTTCTGCTTGGTTGGCTTTCTAATGAACTCTAGCACATATAAACAAGAAGCTTGTTTTTAAGTTAAAATAGGTATGTTACAGATTGTTTGCTGCATCTCACGGTTGTACTTGATGCAGAATTGTGTGTTCACTTTTTAAGTACTAATGGTTTTTCCTTTCTCAATATGCCTTTCCAGGTATGATTCCCGAGCTGGATTCTGGGGTGTTATGGGTGGGCCTTGTCTTGGCATTATTCCTGTAAGATTAACTAAATTCGTGGAGACATACAAATGCTCGTCTATAGTGATAACTTGTGCAACCAGTGATGCTAACCAGAAAAAATAATATTTTGTTGCAGCCATTTATTGAAGAATTTAATTATCCCATGCCAGAAAATTGTGCTGGTGGAACCACCGGTGTTTTTGTGAATGGGAGAGAGCTTCACCCAAAAGATTTGAATTTGCTTGGAAGTAGAGGGCTCCCAACTGATGGAGATAGATCTTACATTGTTGAGATATCTGGGAGAGTCCTGGATGAGGACTCTGGTGAAGAGCTTGAAAGTCTTGGCAAACTCGCTCCAACGTAAGCCTCGGTTATCTGAATGATGCTTCCATTGGTTATTGAAACTTTAGCTGCCTGAATTAGTTCTATTCATTTCTGCTTCCTATCGATTTCCCGCGTCTAATGGTCACTCGAATGCCTTTTAGTATGCTATTTAATAAAAGCATACGCAATTGGAGCAGTTGAATACTTTTCCAGCATCATGTCAGATCCTTCAAATAACATGTGACTTGAGCCACCGGATTGAGTTTCAGCCAGTAAAAATTTTACCTTTCAAAGTGAAAAATGGGAGTGCCCTTGGGCTTAGATATATCTCACTAGCAGGGCCCTCGGATGGATGAGAATCACTGGACAATTTGTTGACATTCTGTCAACAGGTTAACAATATTTGTTGCAGAAATAGAAACTACTAAGATGCCTTTAACTTGCTGCTGTGACCTAAAGCCATGCTCCTGCCATTTACATTCTAGTATCATTTCAACTTGCTGTTTACAAAATTTCCATTTACGTTCTAGTTCCACTCTAAAGATTAGCAAACATAAGAAAACCCCTAACACCCCCCCCCCCCCAACACACCCACATAAAAAAAGACCCTTATGCCTTCTATTTGAATTCAGAAAATCCCCATGCATACTAGTATTTGTGGTTGTTTATTAAATACTTGATCTTATTTCCATGTTTTAAACTGCTGTGTCAACTGAGGTGCCTTGTAGCCAACTGCTGTCATGGCCCTGATATTTTCATAACAAAAATATTGCTGTGATTTAGCCTTAAATTATTTCTATTTGCATTTATGTGGATCTAAGATTGCTCTGAAAGCAGAAGAACTTGCGCATATGATAGCCAAAACACGATATTACTTATTTGTGGAATGATTCCAAGCATGACTAACTCGAACTTTTGAACAGGGTTGAGAAGTTAAAGCATGGATTTGGCATGAAACCAAGAACGGCTGCTTAAGCGACGCTTTTCTTGGGACAACGAGCTTCCATCATTGCTTCCGAGTTTTGAAAGATCTTGAAGATGTGTTCTGTCAAGGAATTGAAGTGAACAGTTTACATTGACTTGACAAATTTATGAAAAGGAAACCTGAAAAGTTCTTCTTGCACTGCTTTAGACGACAGACAAGATGATGTTCGATTACTACTGGTGTGTCCACAATGTCGTATAGTTGCTTCATTATCTTCGAAGTGTTATGTCTGATGTTGCTGATTTGTTGTCCAAAAGTGATTTAAGCACTTTCGTATGTAAAGCATGTAATTTTCCACTTAATGAGATTAATGCCCTGCTCCTGCTGTATACTTTCACATTGACAAGGCTTGATCATGTTATTTCCATTTCTTAGCTTCTCTAAGATACACGAATGGTTGATCAAGTCTTAGACCATTTTAAATTTGACCTTATTATTAACCATTTTTGTTGGATTTTATGGGCCACAAATGGGCCAGTCCATCGGGTCAAATGGGTCCATGGGCTACTTGGTTGATTCATTGCCCGGTGACCCGTTAGTCTAACTGGATGGCCCATGGACTGTGCTCTACTCTAGTTCACTCCGAATCATCAAGAGTTGGAGAGCAAAAGCGATTAAGTTCAAAAAAAAATTAAAACAGAAGTGTCTTGGCAGTGTTATATTATAATTTATATACCATACAAACACATTTATTCACAAAAAATTAATGAAAATATATTTTAAAAAAGAAAATTTTACACAGAGTTATGTGACAAATTACGTATATTTTAAAAAATTAAATTTTACCATTTCGCAAATTCAGAGAGAATTCACTCCAATAATAATAATGAATTAATTCATCCAATTAAATAGGAGTAGCATTTTCTTTTGTAAATAGTTGCATCCCGTATGCAAACTCGAATAAGTAGATCTATATCCAGCCACCCATGCAGTCTTCTTAATCACCAATGGAAAAAAAAAAAAAAAAAGCAATGGCATTGATATATAATGCAATGGAAAGAACATGCTGATTGTTTTTCTTGGCTTTTTATGTGAAGGACAACTTTTTTTTTTTCACTTAAAATAAATAAGTCACTCTACATATCCATTAGAGAGTATTGTCCTCAGCACCACATACGAAATGAACGTTGAATAGTATGTTTAGCCCCAAAAGACAACTTTATTCCATCTTAAAGTCTCTAGAGAGAGAGAGAGAGAGAGTCATTACTTTTAACATAAAATAACACCTTCCATATTTTTTTATACCTCATGAATGCGTAACAAGGTGTTTGTTATTTCTTCTTCGTCATCTCAACAATGTTTTAGAATGTCATTTATTACCGAGATGGGCTGTTAAGAAGATGAAGAGGAAACCAGATTGAAGATCGTCTAATTATGAAATAGTACGAGTGGATAATAATAGTGAGCAAATCCATATGTTTAATACAAAACCTAGATAAATTCCAACCAGACCATGAAGCATGGAATACTGTAGATAAATGGAATAAGTTGTAGACATATTATGTGTGATATAAACGAAGTTACACATGATTATAAAATGAGATGAATACGATTTAAACTATGTAACTTAGACACAATATGGACCTAACATGACCCGACCCACTACCAATTCTACTGGCATGCTAGGTAGGAACAGGTCTGGCCTCAATTTGATTTAATAGTTAATGGTTCAACATGGTTTAGTCAATAGTCGAAAGAATACAATAAAATCAAGATTATAATTTAATGTATAAATTATAATTTTAAGAATTCGAAAGATAATATATAAAATATGATCAAAACATAATGTTAAGGGTATAATATTTAATTTCAAAAAGTTGAGGGGTCATGGCCCCCTTGGGCAATAGCATAGCTCCGCCACTGTCTGGGAGTAAATTATGACTTAAAAAGATTGAGTTATGATACTATTAGTCAAATTACAATTGAAACAACTGTATTTTAATACCAACTCACTTTGATTTTACAGTAATTAAAGGTGAATATAGCATTATTCAAGAATTAAATGGCGAAAACCCATCCACATTCATTGCGACGGCACACGTACTTTTGTCGCCGTGTCACCGACGTTTACGTTTTTGACTCCTATTGTGTGACTGCCACGACAAAATCAAATCAGAACAAAATGTAAAAAATCGAGTCGCCTTTTTTCCTTTGTGTTAGGGCTAATAAATTTTCTCGTGTTAAATTTTTGTCAGTGGAAAAGAGTTTGGTTTGAGATCAAACGATGGCTATTTTGAAAGAAAACTTGAAAAAAATTGCTCTTGATGTTCATGAAAACGACGATGAAGAGCAAGCGACCTACAATTCACGTGATGGAGAAGATTCTTCTGTCTCTGATAGAAGAAATTCTCACAGTTTCACACATTCTAAATCCCCTTTATATTCTCCGGTTATCAATGGCTTCGACTATCCTACCAAACACACAAAAAAAAATTAATTATTTTTATTTTTTATCTATCCTATCAAACATAAATGAAAAAAAATATATCATTTTTATTTTTTTTTCTTGGAGGATAGAAAGTATATCTTTTTTTATTTTTCATCTTTCATATCAAACAAAACATTAGAGTCGACAAAATTATTATCAGTGTCCCTCGGAAGAGAGAAGATTGAATGTGAAAATAAGGGAGATACGTGGACCGACAAGGAAATTGGGAAAACACCCTGTACTACTACTGTTACAAGGTAGTGGCATGCTGATTCTTACATGACTAACAAGTGACAATGAGATTTGATCGCAAATTGAGGCAGTGTTTAATGTGGGTCGGTTTTGTCCGAAGAAGTCGTTTTCAATTTACTCTGGTGATTGACAATGTTGCCTAGGCAACTAGTGTAACCTTTGTTTGTCCGTTTTACTTTTATACAATCTCACTTCTGATTTTCAACGGCGCTTCTCATATTGTCACGTAAAAAATTACGCTAATGCTATTAGAACATGATGGTGTATTTCAACGTGATACAAATTTGTGATGACGAGTAAATGAAAAAAATAATATTGAAATTGTTGAGATCTGAGCTACTAGACTCGAGTGAATGATGCTGAGAATTGTCGGGGAGTTAGGAAATTAACACAGTAGGAATATAGTGGTTCACCAGCTCGGGAGCTCGACTAATCCACTCTTTAATGGAGACTCTTGCTCCTTGTCCTTCAATAATGATGATTCCAAGAGTACAATGGCTAGTTTTTGCCTCTAGAGTTCCTCTCGTTCTTTGGGGGCATTACATAGTATTTATAGGGTTGTTCTCTACTCATTGGGATTTTAGTCGAGATTCTTGCCCTTATTTCGTGGGATTCTCTTTGATTATAGGAGAAGATTTTACTTGGTTGAGATTAGGTGTCTTGATTATTGCTTCCTAACACTTTTAGGAATCTCTCGTGATCTTCCAGCTGTTGCCTTGGTTGTTATTGCCCTTGCTTATCTCGAAGGGACCTTCAGCTCTACTTTTCCGAGTTCTGTTCGTCTAGTCTGACCTCCTGGGCTGAGCTGACCTTCTGAGCTGGCGTTTGGGATTTATTTTGAGGTATCATCAGTTGCTCCCCCAACCCTTGGCCCAAGCGAGCTTGGGCATGGACTGAGCTGCTTTTACCTTGGACTAGATTGCGCCTAGCTGATCTTAGCTTGCATGTGAGATGCACGTAAGAGGGGCTTTTTGACGGTAGCAGCAATCATGGCTCTCTTGGTTCTCGCGCACGCCTCATCCCACGTCTTTCAAGCCTTAAATGCTCAAAACGGCTAAAAGAAAACGTACAAAACCATTGTTCATCTTCTACGCTGTTCACCTTCGTCTTCGACTCTTTCTCTCTGTGATTTCTGGGCTTTCCTCCATGCGATTCCCTTATTCTCTGCTCTAGATTGTGCTTTCTGGGTTCGACTCGAAGTCCTGCTTTGTTCCTCTCCTCCAATTTTGTTCTTTGGCTGCTGTTTGTTGCTCTCTTCCCTGTCTAGGTACGTTTCCTCTGCCCCTTTCTCTTTCTCTTGCCTTTCCTCACTCTGGATCCCTCGACTTCGAGGTGGCCATTATTTTTCTGAGTTTTTCGGTTCTTTTTCTTTTGGAATCGCGATCGTTGCCTATCTCCTCTTTCCCGCTTTGTGGATTAGAACTCCACTGTGCTAATTCTTATTGTCGGGAGGTACAGTGCTGACCCTAGGATTATCAGGGGGTGTTTAGTTAGTATTCCTCATTTTTATAATTCTTTCGACTTGCCTTTCTCTTTGTCAGTCATGTCTGCCTCCTCTGGAGTAACTCCCTCATCTGTTTCCCTCATAGGCAACAAGTCTGCTAAGAGAGATTCTGATTTAGGGGATGTAGGTGATGAGATTGACAACTTCCTCGGTGTTGAGGCTGTCGATACCGAGGTAAACTCCAAGGAACTCCCCTCATCTTCCTCTCGTGTATCCTCTAGTGCTGACAAGAGTAAAGGCAAGGTGAGTGGTGTGGGAGTCATTGGTTCAAGCGTAGGGGTTGCCTTTAGAAACGCTGAACTTGTAGATTCCAGCGGACTTACCCTTATTGACCTGAAAGTTTTCAGTGCTCGCTTTCATTTCCCCCAGGGGTTAAACCCTAGAGTCCTGATGAGTACACCACATATGTTCACCATGTCCATAAGAAGGTCTGTTTCTTCCTGGCAGCTTTTGATAACGGACTTCGCTTCCCCTTCATCCTTTTATCAAAGCTGTCCTTCAGCACTTCAATGTCTGCCCTACCCAACTCTCCCCAACTTCTGGGGTATTCTTGTGGGTTTACTAGTCTTCTTTAAGGACCATAAGCTTAGGGTCCCTACTGTTTCCTTACTTATGGAGCTGTTCAATGTCAAGCAGACCTCCTCCGACGGCTTTCTGTATATTTCCAAGAGGACTAAGGCCAAACAGGTCATCTCTGACCTCCCAAGCTCCCATAAGGGCTGGAAGAAATGATTTTTCTTTATAGGCGGTACACAGTGGGAGTTCAACTCAGAGGATAAAACTGATACCCTCCCCATCCCTACAGAGTGGTCTGCCCCTAATAATTTGGGTATGTTTCGGCCCAGACAGTATTTACTCCAAGTCTGGCTGATTTGTTAACTTACTTCTTGTTTTTCTTGGTTTTCTAGGTATTCGACCTGAGCTCAGCGCTAAAAAGGAGCGAGTATTACAGAAATTGAAAAAGTACAAATCGAAGAAATATTCTGAGCTCATCCAATCTTGGGCTCTCATAGAACACGGGTTCTACCTTCCTAAGGTGAGGGTTGAAACTCCCCTTCCACTTTTCATTTCTGACCCCATTCCGCTTTTCGCCGAAGATATATCAGGTAACATTTTTTCTTTGTACCCTCTTTCCTCTTTTCTCAGTCTAAGGGTGAGACTTAGCTATTCTTAGGTCCCGCAGGTTTATCATCAATGAAGCCCACTG